TGCTGCAAAAATATGGAAGTGATCTCTCTCATTGTCCACTCTAACATACACTAAAGTAAGCCAAGTATTTTAGGCTGTAATTTGCAGAAGCTAGAGAGATTGTTGTGAGTTCACACATCACTAATGGCGTCAGAAATTGCATTATAGTTAATGGTGGCTCATGATTAGGAAATCACCTATCCTCACCTGTCTAATTCAGTCTCCAACAACTCAGGCAACTGCATTTCTCAGTCCCCAGGCCAGTCAATTCACAGAATCAGATAGAGTCTTCCTCCAGACTTCTTTTAGGACCTTTCTTCTCTTTGGCTCAATTAGTCCTCCCACATTACTAAGGCAAGGATATTTTACACTTCTCATTCTAAAAAGTGCTTCTATTTTCCTTATCTAAGGATTTCTTTTTCCCCTCAAGTACCTATATACATTAGCTAATGCTTCACACAACAGTGTAACCTTTTTGCATATGCAGAGGGGCTGGTAGAAATAGGAAACACCTTAATACTAGGTGATCCCAAGTCCTTGTCATTAAGAGATATAATAATGCAGTGGCTCACGCATGTAATTCCAGCACTTTGGGAGTTCGAGGCAGGTGGATCATGAGGTCAGGAGTTCAAGACCAGACTTGACAAGATGGTGCAACCACATTTCTACTAAAAATACAAAAAATTAGCTGGGGGTGGTGGCAGGCACCTATAATTCCAGCTACTCAGGAGGGTGAGGCAGGAGTACTGCTTGAACCTGAGAAGCAGAGATTGCAGTGAACTGAGGTCATGTCACTGTGCTCCAGCCTGGGCAACAGAACGAAACTCCGTCTCAAAAAAAAAAAAAAAAAAAAGAAAGAATGAAAAGAAAAAATCAAGAAAAGAAATGTAATAACCACCAGGCACTAGAACTGTTCTGGATGGTCAGTTTAATTCTTGTCTTTGCCAAAGCATCCCAACTCTTCTCAAGCCAATATCTTTCCCCAAACCTGCCCTGACTTTCTTCGTAGCAACTTGTTAGTTTCTTCCTCAATATTTATTTTTTCGGTTGCATTTAAAAAAAATATTTATTTATGTAATGTTTGTTCTGAATTAGAATGTCACTTGCCGGTGCTCAAGAATAAGTGCTGAATGTGTAAATGAATAAATGAATAAATGGAAGATATAAAATAAGAAAATTATATTACAAATTACTATATATATAAATCTGTACTATTTAGTGTGATCTAAGTGGGGATTATAGTTATTAGCAAATACACACAATTTAGAAGGGGGACCAGGCATGGTGTGTGGTTCAAACCTGTAATCCTAACACTTTGAGAGGCTGAGACAGGAGAATTGCTTGAGCACAGGTGTTTGAGACCAGCCCTGGCAGCATAGTGAAACTGTGTCTTTACAAAAAAATATATAAAAATTAGCTTGGCACAGTGGCACACGTATGTAGTCTGAGCTACTTGGAAGGCTGAGGTGGGAAAATCACTTGAGCCTGAGAGGTGGAGGCTGTAGTGAGCCTGTGGTTACATCACTGTACTCCAGCCTGGGCTACAGAGTAAGAGTTTGTCTAAATAAATAAACACAGCTGCACAGTTCATAAAAATGATAACTATTTGAATGATAGAAACTTTTGTTGCCTATGTTTTTCAAAACAGATGGAGGCCTAGGTTATAGCTAGATCCCTAAATTATTTGTGGTTTTCTATGAGGCAAACAGTGGTTGGAGACATTTAACATATTAAATAAATTCTCAACTTTAATGTTTTTTATTCTAATGTTAGGATCTTTGAGACTACTGATAAGAGAGGCAAGTGTTTTAATCATTGACTTTAGCCCTGTGGGGAATAACATGAATTCCTTTAGACTGATGTCTGCCAAGTTCAAGACCTTTTTGCTTTTAAGAATCTAGACATCTATTTTTTCATAAATATTCAAACATTATCTCAGTTATTAACTTTGAGATTTGACAGAGCAATTCAGGTTTTACTATTGGCTCAATTGATGCATGAGTGTATGGGTTATAATCTCGTTAAAATTCTCTTATTAAACACTAATATCAGTTGTCCTTTTGCTATTGGATATGACTTATATAGAAGTGTATTTTATATATGTATATTGGTTGCATACATATATGTGTATATGCAGTATATGTACATACATATATAAATATATATATGCGTACATAGATACACACATAATCCTGTTCTAGGTAAGCACATTCTAACCCTGTGTCTCACAGTAAATGCAGCTATGAAACCTCGATAGAGTGCAGCCATTCAGGACTCTGGAAAGTAAATATTAGCAGATAGTTTAGTGAAGAAGAGTACTACAGAGTATCTCCAAACCTGTGATGAGTTTACCATTATTTTCCTTCTTCTGTCCCCTGTCCTGGAGTAATAATTAGAAAAACATTAGCAGAATAAATCCAAAGCAAGGTGAAGAAATAATACAATGAAGGTAAGAGAATAAAACAATGCATTTCAAAACAAATAATACAGAAATCAATAAAATTAAAACCTTGTTTTTTTGAACAGACATAAATATTGATAAACTTCTACCAACACTGACAAAAGAAAAAGAAAAGCAGAAAAGAATGATAAATATTATGAACAAGTGAAGATATGTCATAGACCCTGCAAACGTAAAAAACAGAATAAGAAAGTACTATAAACAGATCTACTGACCTAAATTTTATAATTCCAATGAAATTGAAATTTGGCAATTTAAAATAAATGGATCAATTCTTCAAAAAGTGTAAACTCTCAAAACTCACTCAGAATGAAATACAGAACCTAAATAATCCCATAACTGTCAAATAAATTATAATTTTAGTTAAAAACTTTCTGAAAGTGGAAATATCCAAGCCCATGAAAAATTTTAAGAAGAATTACCAAGTCTACACAGTATTGTTCAGGAAATACAAGAAGAGGGAATGCATCCTAACATTTTTTACAACTCCAGTCTTATCATTACTACCCAAACCAGGTAGACATAGTACAAGAAAAGAAAACTTTGAACAAGACTTTCATGCATATATTTTCCAGTGAACATTTAGATAACTCAGTGAAGCAATATATAAAAGAATAATTCACCATGATAAAGTAGGGTTTATCCTAGAAGCATAAGAGCAGTTTAATATTAAAAATTTAATTAATATAATTCATCATATTAAGAAATTAAAAAAGAAAAAACACACTGTCTGATCAATTGAAAAAAAAATGGCGAAAACTGACTCTCCCACCGTGAGGATGCTCAGGGAGTGTCGTGGAGAAGAGCCCACTTGGCAGCACCAACTCGCCATCCATGCCATGCACATGCCATCAGTGTGAATAAGACACTTCGAAACTGGATCCCCCAATCCTAGTCAAATCATCCAATGACTGTAGACCCAGCCAATATTTGACTACAACTCCCTGGAAGATCAAGAGCTAAAGCTGTCCTACGAACACATGCTCAAATTCCTGACTTAAAAAAAGCATATATAATATTTTATTATTATTGTTTGATGTTACTAAGTTTGATGTATTACAAGTAATAGGCATATACATAGGGGTAATAATAATGAGGGCTCATAGTGCATAAATTGATAAAAGAGATGTGAGGAAATAAAGGCAAATTGATTTTAAGAAAATGTTGCTAGCATCAATAAATTGTAGGTCCCTATCAAGATGAAGAATTGCTGGAGTGGGAGGTAGTAGACAGAGAATAAGATGGTTGAAGTAGAGTTTCCAACAGTAGTGCATATATTAGAGCTGACAAGCCAAGGGTATGTTCATAAGAATCCATGATAATTAGAGCAAAGTAGCAAATTGGAGTCAAGGAGATCAAGAATATGAAAGGCCATTATGTTTAATGGATCATGAGTGTAGTTGAAGCAGCTACTAATTATCATGCCTAAAATGGGTGTATTTTGTTTTTCTGTTTGTTCTTTTGTTCATTTGTTTGCTTAATTTTTTGTTTTTAAATGAGAGCCATCTCACCCAACCAGAAAGACTGTAAGGGGACATTGCAGATGATCATCATGAAAGCAGGGTAAAATCTGCCTATAAAACAAGTAATAGCTTGGACTAAAAATATAAGTGGAACAGTAATTTTTCACTGCTGGAAAAATATTTGGATTACAGATTTTTTGAGAAAAGGCTTTTACATGCAAAAGTAGCCATGCAATCTCAGGGATTCCACTTTGAAACGTGTCTTTAGAATCCCGGTCAAGGCCACTGAGTAAGATTTAAAATAAATATAAAAAGAAATGAAAAAGAAAAGAGGGTTAATAACAGGTTGGTGCCATCAGAACAAAAGATGTTACTAAGTATATGCAAATGGGCAAGATGTTTACATCTTTCATTTTAGAAGGGTCCATAATCATGACCAGGGTTACCAAAAATGTTGCAAATGGTTTATAGGAGTCATAATAATAATAAAAATAGGAATAAATTTAACCATAATCATGACTAGGGCTCACACCTATAACCCTAGCATACTGGGAGTCTGAGATTGAAGGATTGCTTGAGCCCAGGAATTCAAGACCAGCCTAAGGAACACAGCAAGATCCTGCATCAACAAAAAATAAAAAAAAATTTGCCAAATGTGATGATGCATGCCTCTAGTCCCAGCTACTCAGGAGGCTGAGGTGAGAGAACCCCTTAAGCCCAGGAGTTCGAGGCTACATTAACACACTCCACCCCAGCCTGGGTGACAGAGCAAGTCCCTGTATCAAAAATAAATAAATAATAATAGTAATAATGATGAATTTGAAATTCAAATGACATATTCAAAGCCATTGTGAAGATTACTGTGGTGTTCATTTTGTACTGTCTGACAGAAAAGCAAACATATTAGTGAGACACAGGTTATAAACCTTCTAGTAGGTAAGTAGAGTTTTAAATAAGGCATGCATTTATGTGATTAATATGACAGATCAGGGACTCCGCAGGATTTAGTGATGAGCTACACAAATAATGAAATCATTTTAACAAATTATAATCAGACATACATTTTGAAGACTTTTCTTTATTCAATGTTCAATTAGGTACTCAATTGATAGAAACACAGACCTGGAGAGATACTTCAATATTGATGCCAACAGTGGAGTTATCACAACTGCCAAGTCTTTGGATCGAGAGACAAATGCTGTTCACAATATCACAGTCCTTGCAATGGAGAGTCGTAAGTTGTGAGGCTTAAAACTAAATTAAGATGGAGGACAGTGAGTGGAGAATTGATTGTCATGAGATTATAAATTCAGCTTGATTAAAGTAGTTGCTTATTTGAATTGAATAAAAACTTGAAAATTCCAAACTTCTAAGCTGTGAAATATACTTACATTCACTGTCTTTATATGCTAACATTTACAAAATTTATGAAAATCCAAGACTAAAAAATAATGGGCCTGTAGTACCTTCTTATTTTCTGATTGCAATTCACATATTGTGTTTATGCTGGTATGTAGTTAGTGAAATCGTTTTTAATAATTAGTAACTTGATCTGTAACCATGACAACTGGATTTGAATATTCTGATATTGAACTTTTAGTCCCTCATAAAAAATAAAATAAAATAATAAATAATAAAATACAATGAAAACGATTGAAAAAAGAATGCATATTTGCATATGTATATGACTATGATATATTGGATATTTAAATATGTATGCATTTATAATACATGTGTTGATAATGCAAATGTATAGTCATGCAAATATGAGCTCTACCATCAAAGAATATTGAAATTTGTGGTTTACTGTTCATTTTTCTTTCAGTAATTTTCTCATCAGGGACTAAAAAACTACAAGTACACGTATAGACTATAGTATACATTAAGATATATATACATACATGTGTATCCAAATACACACATATGTATGTACATATATGTATGTATACACATGTACACATATACATACATAGGAATGTGTGTGTGTATTTCGATCATATTTTCATATGATCCAAAGCTCCTTTTAAGTAATACAGCATTATGATTCTAGATTTTATTCTCAGCTTAGTTATTGATATTAGAATTGTGCTTTAGAGAGGCAAAGAGTAAATCATAAGAAACTCTCTTATTTATTAGAGAATCCATCTCAAGTAGGAAGAGGCTATGTGGCCATCACAATACTTGACATCAATGATAATGCCCCTGAGTTTGCCATGGACTATGAGACCACCGTCTGTGAAAATGCCCAGCCAGGGCAGGTAAGAGTCTTCAGAATGCTTTGCTTCTAATTTGTGATTTCTTAAAAAATATCCAGCAGCAGTTGCCTTTGAACTTCTTCCAGCTTTAAGATAAAATATAATCGGCTTGTTTCAGCAAAACTAACACTTTGATGTGTAGCATGAACTAATATTAAAGGAACCTTCAAATTTCAGTTTAATTGGGGTGATGAAAATTCCTCAGGAAGAAAAGGTAAACATTGTAAAAGCCCTGTTAAATGGCTAAGAACTTAGACTCCTTTATGGAGAAAGATACAGCATAGTAAACTGATTGGGCTGTTTCCCACCTTACACAACAGGGTTTAAGTATCTTAAAATTCTAAGAATTAAGTGCAGTGCAATCTCAGTTGGTTTGTTCATCTATTGTTCAGTGTCTTGTGATGTTTACTGGGATGTCTAATCAATTGGTGCAGCTTATTTCTGAAGTTCACAAAAGTGAAGTCAAGCATGAACTATGAAAAGGACATGATTTGTTTTTCAGAGCCTGTTTTTAGATGGGGTTCATAATAATACATCTGATCCTTTCTCCCTAGCTCATTCAGGGAGATGATATTTATTATAAAGTGTAAAGTTACTCTGTCCTGCCTCAGAAAACTAAACATAGCACAACAGTGTGCTTTCCTGTTTTACTTTTTCCTTTCCTAGGTTATCCAGAAAATCAGTGCTGTTGATAAAGATGAGCCATCCAATGGACACCAGTTTTACTTCAGCTTAACAACAGATGCAACAAATAACCACAACTTTTCATTGAAAGATAACAAAGGTAAGGTATTAATATTGTTACTGATAGAGGTAGCAGGTATAGATACTCTAAGCAAACACTTTTTCCCCCTCAGAAGTGCTGATTACGGAATTTTTTTTAAAAGAAAGGACATTAATTAATTAAAGAGCAATGAGCACCTAAAGTAATTTTTATCTATGGATTTACTGTCATGAAGGAAAAGCTGCTATTTAAATCATTTTAGGCCTAAAGCCAAATAAGAGGAAAAGCTGGATTATTCTTTTGCTTTTCTTATAGACACTCATTCTCTTATTTGTATACCAAGTTCATTATCCAGATAATCTATTAAGTTGATGGTTATTTAAATACCTTAATAAGTACTATGCTCAGAGATGCCACTTGAGACGTTGGAAAAAGAACTGGACATTATACATTTTAATCTGAATCAACTTTAACTTAATGTTTTCAATAATAACATCTCTTACTCTTTTATTTTACATAAACACAAATGTAATTCATGCAAATAATAAAATAATGATATATTTATGATCCTAAGAAATATAAAATTAAAACTAACAGAATATCTCCCTCTCATATCAAATTGCATTTCTCTGCTTCAAAGGTAAATACTCTTAGCGCTTTCCTAAATGTCATTATAGGAACATGTTTACAAATACCTATAAGTAAATTTTAGTTTTGTTTAATAATATATATTGACAATTATAAGAACTTAAAGCATTAGAACCTTCTATCTTTGTCTAATTTTGAATTATATATTTGAGTGGGTTTTTATTCAAGGTATTTACTTTGGCAGAAGGAGAGCATTTGAAACCGATATAAAGAGTGAATACTATCCCCCAACAACATGGAAAATAAATATTTTTTAAAAAACTTTATATTGTTTATGTAAATCTGGTTTCAGGGAAAAATATAGAAATGGATTTGCCTGTCAATTCTTGCTTGTTTCAAAAAGACTTCCTTCCACTTTGGGAGGCCAAGGTGGGTGGATCACGAGGTCAGAAGATCGAGACTATCCTGGGTGACATGGTGAAACCCCATCTCTACTAAAAATTAGCCAGGTGTGGTGGTGCGAGCCTGCAGTCCCCGCTACTCGGGAGGCTGAGGCAGGGGAATTATTTGAACCCAGGAGGCAGAGATTGCAGTGAGCCCAGATCTCGTCACTGTACTCCAGCCTGGCAACAGAGCAAAACTCTGTGTTTAAAAAAAAAAAAAAAAAAAAAAAAAAAAAGACTTACTTTCAAAAGGTGGATAAGAACTTTTGTCTGAAGCAATCACCTTATTTAGTGCCCTTGGCCTCAAAACTTCAATCTGAAAATAATAATTTTTCCTGATCCTATTTTCTACTCAATGAAAATACTATCTTGTCCCTTCAATAATATGAAAGGTAGAGCATTCTCTACATGGGTAACTACAGACTCACTGACTTAATCATAGTTAAGAAGGATAATTCTCAGCATTTAGATTTATCTGGTACAAAATCAGAGAAAGGAATTTATGTCTTTCACAAGGAGAATGTGAATATATCCCCCGTGTGTTCTTATTCAGTACCACCATGATTGATGTACAACATGTGCACTAAAATTTCTCCATTTATAGGACATCCACATTGCCACACAATTGAAAACTTCTCTGGCTTATACCCAGAGCTCCCTTGACTGTACCTTGAAGGAAAACATATGAATACAGAGAAAGTCAGTTCTTAAGAAGTCTTCCATCTTAGGGAGCAAACATGGGACATTATAAATTTTATGATCACTTTTCTGATTATAGAGTCATAGTTTCACTTTTTGGGCATTTCAGCTTGTGTTCCTCAATTCACCAAGTGTATGTGTGTTTGTGTGTGTATGTTTCTGTGTGTGTGTGGGTGTGTGTCATTTTGATATGTCATGTTAGATTGATTACAAATCAACGACTTTCTAAAACTTTTTGTATCAAGTAATAAATGCATCTGACATCTGAGTTGGTAGGAGGCAAAGGCATAGACCTAAGTGCTATTGTGAAATGTATAGGAACTTACTCAAAACAGCATCCTTTAACAACTCCAGCTTAATTTTTTAGTGAGTACCTTCTCAAATTCATACATTTTAAAATATATGAATGATTTGTTTACATAAAAACCTACCAGATGGAATCTGAAAATCAAACTGTTTTATTACTGTCTCTTTTATAATTGCATGTAATACATTTTCTGCAGTCTAATATGAGCTTGCTGTTTTGTGCTGTTTGAGAGAGATTTCATCTTCCTCTTTCACAAGTGTAATAATTTTTTCATGCTATCATTGAATAAATCCTTTTGACAATTTAGAAGAGAGAAAAATATGTAAATGCACAGTGCATGAAACCCCGATCCTGATTTTTCTTCTTTTCCTTTATATTTTTATTAATAGCCATTAGTTTTAAAAATCTCATACTCTAGTTAATTAAGACAAGTTAGTTGGAAAACGACTAACAGATACAAACCTATTTTTGATATATAAATCACACACATAGACATTGTTAACTTTAAGTTTATAATTACCATAATTGCTTAGATGAAGTAAAATATTAAATAGAAGTTTAACATAAATGGCCTTATCACTGACAAAATGTTTATACACACAGAGTAAATACAAATATCAATATATTATTTTTAAATTGTTACAATAAAATTATTCCGAATATCTCTGCATATTCAATTTAAATAAAGCTAAAGTAGCTGATTTTACCATTTTAAATATAAATTTTGGTCTTGAAACCTGTCAAAGAGAGGATAGATTGAAAATTTTATCTGTACCATATGATGCTGCAAAATATTTAACCTTTCAATATGTACCATCCTTTCTATAAGTTTATGGTGTCAAATTTGAGATAAGTAAAAAGGTGTAGTTTTGATAAAGTTGCAGTTAATGTAATAAGTGGTGCATAAACATTTTTATATTTTATTTTACTTTATAACTTTGTTATACTGTATAAAAGAACATAAATGTCTTATAATGTATTAAACTGGAAATGTCTCCTTGTCCAAGAGAACTCAAAGAGAATTGTTGAAATAAATCTGCAACTCCAGAGATTTCCCTAATTAAGGCATCAAAGTAAACAGAGTGACTTAAAGTTTGGGAAGACTGGTTCCATCAGAAATCTTGTGTTATACATTTGCTTTCTTTATCCTAGACAACACAGCCTCAATACTGACCAGGAGAAACGGCTTCCGGAGACAGGAACAATCGGTTTACTATCTGCCAATTTTCATTGTGGACAGTGGATCTCCTTCACTTAGCAGCACCAACACCCTCACCATCCGAGTGTGTGACTGTGACGCCGATGGCATAGCCCAGACCTGCAATGCGGAGGCCTATGTCTTACCTGCTGGCCTCAGTACAGGAGCCCTGATAGCAATACTTGCCTGTGTCTTGACATTATTGGGTAGGTACTGTCTCCAGAAATTGCTCTGTAAGAGCTGTCGCAATAACCATGTGTCACAACTTGCCTGTTTTCTTCTCCATTTGGTGAGCATATGCAGATATTCTTCCGGATGATGATTTTGTTGTTGTTGCTACAATTGTTGAGATGGGGTCTCACTCTGTTGCCCAGGTTGGAGTGCAGTAGCACAGTCTCTATTCATTGCAGCCCCTGCCTTTTGGGTTCAAGCACTTCTCCCACCTGAGCCTTCTGAGTAGCTGGGATTACAAGGGTGTGCCACCACACCCAGCTAATTTTTGCATTTTTAGTAGAGACGGGGTTTCACCATGTTGGGCAGGCTGGTCTCGAACTCCTGACCTCAGGCGTTACACCTGCCTTGGTCTCCTAAAGTGCTGGGATTACAAGAGACAGCCACCGCTCCCAGCCTGGATATTGTTATGCTCACTAACTGACACAATTGTTGGCCACACTTTCCAGTGGTATATTTAAAGTATAACTCAGAAAAAAAGTTGTATCAATTTCATTTCCAAAACGACAGTAAGGATAAATGGCTTATACTTTAAATTATTTTTTTACGATTAAAAATAATCTATCTTATCCCAATTCTTTGCTTTAGAGCACTATGCAGAGAAGATACACTAGACTGGAGAGTACATTTTCTATATTGTTTTGATTATATGCTTATTTTAGAAATTGTGGCTTTGTATTCTACTTTTTAAAGAAAATATTTAAGATGGCTTTCTTAAATTATTTGCAAATTTGAAATGATTACAATTTCAGAAATGCAAATGTTATGTTTTAAAGTATTAAATACTAACATTTAATTGCACTTTTCTATTGTACTTTTCATTACTCAGTTAAATAAGTTTTGTAACTCATATTTACAGTTACATAAGAGATTTTGCAGCATCGTTTTAAAAATTGGGAGACGTCCAATGTGGACATTGGATAACGGGTTTATTCTGAAGCAACATTTTCCTTCACAGTGTAATTTCCTGTAACAAGGACAAGAATGTAATATTTTACTTAAAACAATACTCTGTGTTTTCTTGGGGTTTAATAGAATTAGTGAATCCTCTTATGACATTGTTAATAACAGCCTTTACAATGGTAATCACCATTGTATAATGTTTACAATCTAGATTTGTGGATTGAGGTAAACCTAGCTTTTATTTCTGCCTCCAACATGCACTCCTTCCCAAGGTTAATGTTAATCCTTCAATAGCTGGTTAATTTATCTAAAAGAGAAAAATAACCAAACTAGATTCATAAGATTGTTGTGAGAATTAAATGAAACATCTCATGTAAAGAACAGAGTGAACATTCAATATACCATATCATTTAGTGAACATTCAATAAATTTTAAGTGTTACTGATGGAAAATTCTAAGCTAAGACCTAGTTAACAATACATTGTAAATGCTCTCATAAAAATGGAAGTTATTATTTTAAGTAACTTAAGCTAAACAAGTAAATCTAAAAAAAAAAAAAAAACTATATTTTTCATAGAGCTTTACACAGATTTTGAAACTTTCAGAGTTTCATTAGAAATGAAAGTTAATGACCAGCTAAATATAATTAGAATGTAAGGGATTAAAGTTTTAAAAAGGTGAAACCATTGCAAACAAACCACTTTTTATTGGTCTAGAAGCTTCTAAAACCAGTTTGTCCAACCTGTGGACCTCAAGCCACATGCAGCCCAGGATGGGTTTGAATGCGGCCCAACACAAATGATTAAACATTCTTAAAACCGTATGAAATGTTTTTTGGGTTTTTTTTGTTTGTTTGTTTATTTGGTTTTTAGCTCATCAGCTATTGTTATTGTATTTTATGTGTGGCCCAAGACAATTCTTCTTCTTTCAATGTGGCCCAGAGAAGCCAAATGATTTTGGCTTCTAAAACATTAATAAAAATAGATTTTGGTATGTAAAACATTAATAAAAAAGATGTAAATTGCAGGCCAGTCACAGTGGCTCAAGTCTGTAATCCCAGCACTTTGGGAGGCTGAGACAGATGGATCACCTGAGGTCGGGAGTTTGAGACCAGCCTGACCAACATGAAGAAACCCCGTCTCTACTAAATATATGAAAAAAAAAAAAAAAAAAAAAATCAGCTGGGCCTGGTGGCACATGCCTGTTATCCCAGCTACTCAGGAGGTTGAGGTAGGAGAATGGCTTGGACCTCGAGACAGAGGTTGAGGCGAGCCAAGATCGCACCACTGAAATCCTGCCTGGGCCACAAGAGCAAAACTCTCTAAAAAAAAAAAAAAATGTAAATTGCATATTTATTTTATAGTAGCAGAATAACCTACATTAGAAGATTTTAAAATTCATTCATGTTTAGAATATCTTTAGCTTGAAAGCACAGAATCAGAAAGAATAATTAAAGGATAAGTAGATGGTGTGTGGAAGACTTTTTAAGTTTGGTCAGTTTATCATAACTCAGATTATACTGTAAAGGAATAAGATTGTATTCACCAAATTTTAATTATCCTCAATAATGAATTGATTTTTGATTATTTTAAGGCTGTCTGAAGAAACTTGCTTCACTTTAGTAAATACTTTCACCTTTGACTTTGGGGTTCCTTGCAATTTAAGTTGCTTGACGATTACAGTTAATTAAGAATTATCAGCTAATTATTACTGAAAGTAACTGAAATAGAGTTTTATTCTATTTTATTCTTAGATATACTGTTTATGAGTATACATATATAGTATGTACATGTGTGTTTGTGTGTGTGTGTCTGTGCATAAATATTTGGGAGAGTATATCAACATTTAAGCATGACTACTCTTTCTGCTAAATTTGAACATATTGCTTAATTAGACACCAAATTTGAAATGCCTCTTCCACTTCTAAGGATCAAGTTTTTGTGCCCTATATTTTATTCATTTTTTTTAAGAGTTACTCCAAGTCTCCAAAAATGTAAATAAAACAAAGTCTATTGTACTGAAATACAGTTCGGAACAAGGGGCTTCTGCCTGCAGCTTCCATTTCTATAGTAACCCCACAATAATCAGTATCATCAAATGCTAGCATTTTGGCTCAGAAATGTGGTCTCTTATTTCCCAAGTTTTTAAAATCAGATAATCAGGAATTTTTATACTGTTTGATTTTGTCACCACTGCCGTAGATTCTGGACTTTCACACAATAAGTGCTGAAGCCAATGAGATGAAGTATTCACAGGGAGTGCAAGTGGGGCACACAGCCTGGCATGGAGCTTGATTTCTAGTACACAAATAATTCATTGTTTACGACACCTCAGAAAGTCGTGTGAATCTCATGTCTAGGCATTAGGTATCAGGATTTGTAACTCAAACCTTTTCAGACTTCTGAACAAATATTACTAGGAAAAAGCAAGGTGATGAGGTGGGGATGGGGAGTAAGAACTTGAAAATCAAGTTCAATTAATAATGAATTATAAAAGCACCTGGACTTTTAGACTCTTAACAAAAAAGGTACTTAACTATGTGTTAAGTTTGTGTTTCAGTGATGTGACAAACTTGTAACATGACAGGTGGGATGCACTGATATTTTCAGAAATGTAATGCCAAAAGGCATCCCAGGAATTGATTCTAATCCAAACCTATGCACCTTACAGAGGGAAAACTTAAGGTATAGGTAGGTTTGAGGACTTGTAGGAGTTCATATCACAAGGTAGAGGATATGATGCGATAAGATTCTGGGACTCCTTATTCTCAATCACTGAATTTTATTAAACTGCACCAGAAATACATCTTGAAATTATAAAAAATGTTTACTCCTATTTAGTGCTGAAATAATTTATGGTATCTGAAGTTGGATGTCAGTCTTCACCTCTATCTGTATTCTTTTAACTTTATGGATGAACTGCTTTCTGATTTCTCATTCTTGCTATCACCTCCCTCTCTAATTTATTTGCACCTGAATTCTCTAAATGAAGAAAAAAAGACCCAAAAGTTAGAACATGGGATTTCTTAATTTACAGTGAGTATAATTTCAATGAGCTATAATTTCAATGAGCTCACATTTCATGATAAAATAATCAATTAGGTGCCTCAATTATTTTTTATGCAGAAAAATTTCATCAACATATGGCAAGATACTCTGGTATTCTAAATTTTGAATAGAAATTACAACCCATCACTAACATTGATATCAATTTAATTATGCATTTTTATCATAGTTAAATTCATACTTACAGATATATAGTTATTCTTCCACTAGGCTAAAAATACTTTTAAAAAATTACACGAATGACTGGCACATTAGATTATTTATTCAGCAGATTTAAAAAAAAATAAAAAGGAAGAACTTCAGCTGTTTTCTTTAAAAATATGGTTTCAATATTGAATATTGTACTTTTATTCTGAAAATATTATAGTTAAATTCTTTCTGCTCCTACACACACACACACACACACACACACACACACACACACACACACACA